TTGGATGGTTTATGTTTTGATGCCTATGTGTATGATTTTGATGCTCATCTAGTTCAATGCCCTTTACCATCAATGCTTATGATTTGATAGTGTGCCACTTTATGCATTATGATTAATAGTTATTAAGAAGTTGCCCTCTAATGATACCCCATTGATGCTACACGAGTATAGAGAGAATGGTCAATCATCTATACCTATAGTAGCATCAATGCTTGATTGTTAGATCATCGATGCTATAGAGCATCGATTATGGCTCAAGAGGCCCACACTTAATCATGTGCTATCCTAACTTCCTTTTTCTTTATTAATTAGGTAATGTCATGAAGCGAAAGCACGCATTAGCTAGTAAAATATCTATTGCAAGAGGCATGCACGAGTAGAAAATGGCCTTAGTGGAAGAGATAGAGTGATACTATAGATGATTCTTTGATGTATGATGTGATTTAGTTTTACTATATATAATGCTATTTGACATTCACTCTCCTATATAGAAAATCCCTTAAACAACTTTATACTCTTGCTTTACTTTTCCTTGCTTGATTACTTGAATAAAAACCCCTAAATGTCTCTGTTGTTTTTGTGTGTGTCTAAGATGGTATAGTGTGAGTAGTTAGGCATTAGAAGACCTTGTGGAATATAACCCTAGGATTATAACTTCGATTTGCACATCAGGTAATATTGGAGGAGAGTGATTTTCGAACATAATGTACTTTCTAGTGTTTGATTTGTTTTTTCTCCAAATTTTTTTTTGTAGGAAAGTGGGACGCTAAAAGGGCGCCCCTGCCTGATACTTAAATTAAACGGGTTTGGAAAATACCCAAAGTGTCATACAAGATCCAAAAGGATAAGCCCGAGTCTGAGACCTCAAAATCATGAAAACCAATGCTAACAGAGTGACCATTATTGGCCAGAAAATCCGCCACTTTGTTCACGTATCTGTAGATGTGGGAAAGCTTCACTTCCTAGCTCTTATTGAGTAGTTTCTGGAACTGCTGAACCAGGATATAGTACCTGTGCTCCATATGCTCACTAGAGGTAAGGATATTAATAGTTGTGGTGGAATCCATTTGGAGAAGAACCTTCATGTACCCATTCCTCCACCCAACCTGAAGACCCTGGATGGCCGCCATGATTTCAGCTCGAGTAATTGTGCACACTACGAGATTCTCAACAAACGCTATCAGACATTTCCCTGACCAATTGCGAATTAACCCGCCGCCAGCTGCCGTCGATCCTGGATGTTTCACTGAACCGTCAGTATTCACACACACCCAGTCCTAAAGCGGCGGGGTCCACCCAAACTGATGAGTTGTCTTCATCGGGGTTGCTTCTTTGGTCACCTTGTTATCGGTTTGAGCTTGTCTGATGATCGTCATCCAGCATCTGATTCGGTACGCCAACACATGATCTTCTTGGGTCAAGTTGTGGAACACCTTCTCGTTCCGTCTCTTCCAGAGATACCAAGCTGCTACACTGAACAAAAGACCCTCCTGATCCCTCCTGAGGTGCTCATCCAGCCATGCTGCAAAGCCAAGGCCACACGTTAACAATTTGTCTTGAACTCCCAGATTACGCCATACCTGTTGGGAGCTCGGACAATGTCGCAATATGTGTTCCGCGGTTTCCGTGTCAGTTCTGCAGGTTGGGCAGGTGTCAATCGTGGTGTGTTTCCTCCTCTTCCACTCCGCGTTCGTCATTAATCTGCCATGGAAAACCAACCACAAGAAGTGTTTAATCCTGTTGGGGCCGGTCCATTTTCAAAGTTGCTTCCAGTGCGGTGGGGAAGCCGCATCCTCTGTCACAGGCTCTCCGTCACTCAACCACTCCAAGGCTGCCAAATAGGCAGATCGGAGTTTAAATTTTCCGTCCTGTTCCATACCCCAAGCCGTGATATCTTCTCCCAATCCCTCATTTGGCGGCTCCGTACCTGCAATCAGAGCAATCAAGTTTGAAGTTAGATGTGGTATAATCTCCTGCCACTTCCACTCACCTTCATTAGTGGCCAAATCTGCCACCGTGGCGTGCCAATTAATCCTCGGTCTGTTGCCTGTAACCTGATCCCTGAGGACCCTCCCCTCGACTAACCACGGGTCTGTCCAAAATTGGACATTGTGACCTCCCCGAATGTCCCACACAATGCATTGTTTGAGAATTGGCCAAGTATCAACAATCCCTCTCCAGAGTCTTGAGAAATTGCTTTTATTCATGATCATAGCACCTGCAACATTGGTTTTAAAGTATTTCCCTTGCAGAGTGCGGATACAAAACTCGTCTGATTGGTTAAGGAAAGCCCATCCCGATCAAGTAAGAAAGGTTGAGCGCCTTTGCTGATCGTAGCCCAAGACCTCCTTCTTCCTTTGGTTTGTAAATGGTTTACCATTTAACCAAATGATTCTTGGACTTCCCGTCTTCCACACCCCAGACAAAAGCTCTCACTTTCTTATCGATGACCTTGCAAACTGAGATGGGAAGGGCCGCCGTTTGCATGACATAATTCGGGAGAGCATTCAGTACTGAAACCGCCAAGGTCACCCATCCTGCCAAAGATAAGCTCCTCGCTTTCCAGCTGGAGAGGCACTGATCAATCTTCTCCAAGACATACTTTTAGGTATCCTTAGTGACTCTGCCATGAATGACCGGAACCCCTAAGTAACGAACCAAGTTACTTGTTTGTTTTATCCCCAACATGTCACTAATTCTTCTTTTCGTTCGTTCATTGGTGTTCTTGGAGAAGAAGACACACGATTTATCTTTGCTGACTCGCTCCCCCAAGGCATCACAGAAACGGTTCAGGCAATCCAAGACTTCCACGCCCTGATTCAGATCCGCTTCAACAAAAAAAAAAAAACCAGATCATTTGCAAAACACAAATGGGTGAGTGAAGGTCCATCCTTCGATAAGGTAATCGTCTTCCAAGACTTCCTATAAATTGAGTCATTGATGCAGAGATTAAGCCTTTCGATACATAAAGTAAATAGATAAGGTGAAAGAGGACATCCCTGCTGAAGACCCCTGGTTGGTTGAAAGGAATCTGTACAACCACCATTCCAAAGAACCTGGAACCTGGTAGTCGTCACACAAGCCATGACAAGACGAACAAAGTCATTTGGAAGACCAGCCGCCCTAAGCGTCGACTCCAAGAACTTCCCATTGATCCTGTCATACGCTTTGGCCAGGTCGATTTTCAAAATCATTTATCCTTTGGCCCCTGTCTTGCGTGACATTGTGTGCACAACTTCCTCCAGAATGATAATGTTATCTGTGATATGTCTTTTAGGTACAAAGCTCGACTGGTTTGGGTCGACTAGCTGTGGCATGAATTTCTTGAGCCGATTTGCTAGACACTTTGCCATGGCATTGTAGCTAACATTGCATAATACAATGGGTATGAATTGAGCAATTTGCTTCGGAGAATCCACTTTGGGAAGCAACACTAGAAGGGTATCATTGCACAGTTTAATCCGATTCGGGTTCCTGAAACAGGCAACGATGTGTTCATGGAAATCTGCTCCCACTTCGTTCCAGCACTTGTGATAGAAAGTGCCATGAAAGCCATCCTTCCTAGGCGCCTTCAACCCTCCCATTTCCTTGATTATCTTGTAGGTTTCCTCTGGAGTTGGGCTGTCCGCTAAATGGGATGTCATTGCTTCGGTAAGAGCATTGAAGCTTGCTGGAATTTGTTGCTGCCCTGTGCAATCTTCCAAGTATAGACGAACATAGAATTCCCTTGCCATCAACTTCAGCATATCTGGATCCTCAATCCAAGTCCCATCCTCCGCTTGAAGCTTCGTTATTCTGTTCTTGCGACATCTTGTCAGGGCCGCAATGTGGAAGTACCGAGTATTTCTATTTCCATTAACAATCTGATTCGCCCGAGCCTTCTGTAGCCACATGAGTTCCTCCTGCCACAACGTCTGTTCCAGCTCTTCCCGGATCTGTCCTTCCCGTCTTAGAGAGGCTTCAGTTTTCGCCGACTCATTCTGGACTTCAAGTCGAGTAAGTTGTTTGGAAAGTTTAGCTTTCCTTCAGAATATGTTGTCGAACACCTCCTTGTTCCAACGAGTAAGATGTACCTGCAACTCCTGCAAATACAACAAACAGTCCCTTCCTCGGTTCCTCAAGGCTTCAAGAGTAGAGGGAAAATCCTTATGGGCTAACCAGGGAACCAAGAAACGAAATGGCCTTACCTGCCGCGGGGGAACATGGTCATTGTGACTACAGATAAGGATAGGTCTGTGATCTGAACGAAGTTTTGACAAATGAGTAGTTAAGTTGTCAGGAAATTGCCTGATCCACTCCTGATTACACAAAGCTCTATCTAGACGTTGGAAGAGTCTCCCATTGCTCCAAGTGAATTTAGGACCATTGAAACCTACATCGAGTAGGTCGCAATCCCTTATGCATGAGTTGAAGTTGGTTGCTCGACAAGGATTTTATTTTTCTCCTCTTGCCCGTTCCGACGGGCAAGTTATCGAATTGAAGTCCCCCGCTAGCAGCCAAGGTCTCGTAATGCTCTGCTCAAGGCGACGTATAGCATCCCAGAAATGTTGTCTGTCTTTGTCATTCGGCTTGACGTAAATGGATGTCAAGATAACAGAGACATTACTGTGACCTGTGCACAAAAAGTGGAGAAATTGAGAATCGCGATCTAGCTCAATGATTGAGAGATCCACATCTTTCCACAGCACCCAGATGCCGCCCGAAAAATCAAAGGAATCAACAAGAATGTGCTTAGCAAACCCCATATACTTAATTACATCTTCCGTTGATACGTGGCTCCACGATGAAGACGAGATTCGGTCTATGGGCAAACATATATTCCTTAAAGGTCGAAAGAAATTTTGGGTGTTTTCCCCCGGCAATTCCAACTAAAAATCTTAAACATGGAAAATAGAGGGTAAAGAGGGGATTCAGAATTCCCTGACAAGTTGCCGAAGAAACTCTGGGTTCAATTGGGCGCTCCGCCGCCGGATCCATGTTTGTCTCCTGCATTGCCGCAGCTAGTATCGGCCCTCCCTTACTTCACTTGGTTGGGGATTTGAGTGCTCTGACATAGGTTCATCGACCCCCTTGTTACCCGCGTCTCCCACGCCGGGGATTGGAATAGCTTGAAGCTGATCCAGGAGTTCTTCCACCGCTTTCCGATGGCCAAGGTTTTTTTTCTTATGGTGTGGCCTTTTACCATCCCGTGTGCTTGTATTCACCCTATGACCCTTCTTCAACACCCGGAGACTGGTACCCTTCTTGTTGTTCGCTGGGGAGCTAGCACCCATTGCTCTTTTACTGAAATGCTTTCTGATAGAAATGTTTTCCTGGGATTCCTTAGCAGGTGACAAGGAAGGGGGAACGACACGCGAGGTGGTGGGCTTGTCCGATGTGAGTATCATTGAATGGTCTGGAGCAATTTCGGAGGGCTTCCTCTCAGGCTGGTCCACCATAGTTTGGTTGACATTCTCTTTCCCAGCGGGTTGAGAATTTGAAGCTTGATTCTCTATAATTTTGGACCCAACAACCCACCAGGCCTAAGAAGGGCCCATTTTTTGCACCTCTTTAGACCCACTATCAGAGACTTCAGCAGCTTTCCCCTTTTGTAAAATACCATTTCCTTTCTTCGGATCTCCTTTCTGGTCCATCTTACCTTTCTTGTCCTTAGCATCCACAATATTGCTTTCCTCGCTCACCTGATTCTTCCCCGGTTTAGGAGGTAATTTTCCTTGACCTCCGCTTTTTCCCGTTGGATTACCTTGAGAGGATCCTTGATTGATTTGGGTTTTCCTTGTTTGATTGCGCGATTTCCTCACCACCTGCATCCATGGACCGTAGCGTGCCGGTGGTTCTGTCGATGAGTTTTCCAGCGACGGATCCTGGTTGGTCGTTTGAATTCGTGATTCGGTCGCCGGCGGCCGTGTAGTCTAGGGCAAGCCGATTCTATTGGGTGGCCACATTCGAAGCAAAATTTTGGGAGATTCTCATACACCACCTGTTGCCAGAATCCATCGAGACGAATGCGAGTTTTCAAAGGCTTTGTCATATCCAGCTCGACGGCAATGCAGACAAATATCCCAATGCAAAAAGCACTTCCCTATGATAAAAATGAATCGGAAGTTCTGGTAGTTGGACCCAGGCTACCACCGACCGATGTGGTTTATCCGATGTGCGGAAGGTGTGTGACCATTGAGGTAGTCTTTCTCATCGTTAAAGTTAACCAGAAAGGTGGAGTTGTTGAGGTCTAGAATCTCCATAGTCCCAATGGCTTCCATTTTCAGCAGAGCTGCGAACAAAGATATTGGTAAGAGATGGACCTCCCCATGAGACGAGCTGCCAGGGTGCGTTTCCAGGGAACGCATAGGCGTTCCTTAAACTGTGGTGAGACTTTTAGCTCCAGCTCTCCCTGGTAGAGACCAGCTTGCAAGTCGTGTTCGCCAATGAAAGTCTACTGCTGGGTTTTGGACGGAGATTGCACCGGTGGTCTTGCCAACGCCGATGTGTAGCTTAGAAGGGGTGTGCACTGCGGGCTTTGCACGGCCTTAACCGGAACAGAGGGTAGTAGAGGAGAGGGATCTGGCGGAGGTCCCGATAAGGCCATCTTGACCGCCGGTGGGTTGCAGTTGCTCAGAGATTCAGAGAGCATTTCAGAGAGAGGGCCTCTAAACTACTACTATTAGCTTTCTTCTCTTCCAATCCAAGCTTTATTTTTCTCCAAATTTCTAATGTTTGGTAGAAGAGGTTTTTCCCCCTTTAGTTTCAGTGTTCATTTCCTCTTTACATTCAACCTTATTAATGTTAGAGAGTGGTATAAAATCCAGCATAACCTTCTCCCAAAAACTTGAGTTATTGGGAGCAACTGGTTCATGACATGGTATCAGAGCTGGTTTGGCCAAGTGGTCGTGTGTTCGAATCTTCACGACCCCCAATATTAACAGTTGATTAAAGCACAAGGTATGGTGGGCATGTGCAAACTTCAAACCCATAGGTTGGCTTTCGTTTGAAGGCGCGTGTTAGAGAGTGGTATAAGATCCAGCATAACCTTCTCCCAAAAACTCGAGTTATTGGGAGCAACTAGTTCATGACAATTAATGTTTACGGAGTTAAATTTGAAATTTAGTATGGGTCAGATGCAAAAAAAAAATGTCGTAGGACATGAAGGGATCTTTGCATTAAGCCGCGATCCACTTACACAGGTGTTCTCCAAAGCAAAACAATCCTTTGTAGTTCGCTTTGATTGTAAAAGATTAACATTAAATCGTTTTAGTCCACACCGATTAAGTAAAATCTCTTAACTAAGGAGCGATTTCTATAAAAAAATATGTAATTTGTAAATGGAACCTAGAAAAGCTACGTAAATGGAAGAGAAACTGAACGGGAAGGTGAAAGGAGAAGGAAAAATACTATAATACCCTTAATGAATGTGTCAGTAACTTAGTATAGTGTTAGCACCCTATCCACTCCTGGTGTCTCCAATGAATCATATCAAATTTTAGTATTTTGGTTTATAGGGTTAATATATTTGTATGGCTCGAAAAATACTACAATACCCTTAATGAATGTGTTAGTATAGTGCTAACATATAAGATCCACTCCTAGTGTCTCCAATAAATCATATCAAATTTTAGTATTTTGGAAAATTTTAGTAATTTTTATTGGGTTAATATATTTGTATGGCTCGAACTTTTCACAAATTAAACATCTTGACCAATATTTTCGATCTACAACTTCATGGCCTCAACTATGCATCAAAGCAAAGTTACTAAATTGGCCAAACGCGAGATTTGACCGTTATCTTGAACGATTAAAAGCGTTGGCTAACGGTCAACGCACCATATCACTACACAATCAACATAAGAATACTAAAATTCACATATTTTATAATTTCAAATCATTTCAATTAAAGTAATAAAAAAATAATGTGCGTTACCATTTAAACCAAAAACGGAAAATGAAAAAAAGTAAAAGCCATGCTCCTCTCTCCTCCTTTCCCTCTCTGCTCCATCTTCTTCTTCCCCAAAATCATAAATTCTCCAATGCTTAACCTACATCTCCAATCTCGCATGTACCTTTTCTCAATCCCATCTGTATCTTTCACAAATAATCGTTGCAGAAAACGATCCAACCAAAATAAAAAAATGCTCACCATACCTTTCTTTCAGAGAAACCTCCTGCAATACCTCCCCACAACCGCCACCGTTCCGGACCTATGCCCCTCCGAAGCAAGCGGACCTGACCTGCCTCCGGCTGCTACTTTATTCGTGTAAGAACAGAAGCGTGCAAACGATAATTCAGAGTTCCACCAACGAACACAAATTTAACGTGGTTCACTAACAAAATGTGTGCTAGCTAATGCACGGGCAGGGGAGAACAAATTTCACTGATTTTGAGGAGAGTACAGGTTACAAACCAAATTCCGGAACAGACAAACCAAACAAACTAATCTGACTGGCCTTACTACAGACTAGGGTGATGAAGAGTATTTATAGAAATGTTCTCCTAATCTCAAACAAAAAACCAAACACCTTTCCCAAACCTACAAGGAAAAGGACAAAACAAAAGCCCAAACACAAACCCAAACAAAATAGGCCCAAAACACAAAACAAACCCAAATCAAATTCAAGTCATATTAACAATCTCCACCTTGACGTGAATTCTCTCTCAAATACCAAATGTACCAGACGCAACCAAAGTTGCCAGATGTGTCAACACGATCCATATCGCCAAATTTACTCAAAATGCTATCCAAATCGCCAAACTCAGATGCAATCAAAATTGCCAGACGTAATAACTCCTCCAAATCAGTTGTACCAGAATCTCCTTTGCCTCCAAATGCCCCTAAGGGCGGTCAACAACTCAAACCATTCAGAAAGTCCAATCCATATTGAGACTTGCCATTCAGAACCAGCTTGGTGCACTTATCACTAAATGAACATGTCAAAACAGAACCTTGTAGATTATACAAGGCACCACGCTTGACACATTGCAAAATCACCTTAGATTCCTTGTAGACATATATCACTCCACCTTCACCTATGAAACTAAAACTCTTGCTGTCTAGTAGACTCAAAGATATCAGATTCTTAGTCATCTCTGGAATATGCCTAACATTGTTCAAGGTGCAAACAGAACCATCATGTGTCCTCATCCTGACGGACCCTCTTCCAACAATCTTACAGATAGCACCATTGGCCATAGAAACATGTCTTACATCTATCTGCTCATAAGTTGAAAAACACTCACTGCTTGGACACATATGATAATTAGCTGCAGTATCTAAATACCACACATCCTGATGATGTACCTGTTCATTCACTGCTAAGGCTAAACCATCTTCAGAATTAGTGTTAGTTTCTTCCGCCACAACACCGGATGATTCCTACTTCTCCTAAGATTTCTTTAGCTTAGGACAATCAAATTTTCAATGTCCTTTCTCTTTATAGTAATGACAAATATCATCCTTCAAACCAACAAAATTCGAATTTAATTTGCCTTCCTATTATCAGATTGTTGTCTCCTACTACTCGTAGCAGCCAACCCAGATGCCTAATTTTCCGAACCCGAACCAGATGTCTTATGTCGAACCTCTCTAGTATGTAGAGCATATCTGACATCTTTCAAAGACAAACTATCTTTTCCAGCAATAAAAGAATCCACAAAATTCTCATTTGACTGTGGCAAAGATACCAACAGAATTAAGGCAGCATCCTCATCATCTATTTTAATATCAATATTCCGCATATCTAACAAGATAGTATTGAGTTGATCTAGATGATTCCTGAGAGGCGTACCTTCCTCCATACGCAAACTGAACAAACGTTGCTTCATATGCAACTTGTTGGTTAAAGACTTTGTCATGTATAGACATTAAAGCTTCAACCACAAGCTCGCGACAGTCTTCTTAGTAGCAACCTCAGTGATGATGTCATCAGCCAAACAAAGCAAGATTGTAGAGTGAGCTTTCTCCTCCAAAGTGATCCAATTTTCTTCATCTATGCTTTTCTTTTTCGATTTTTCAGACAACGGAGCCCACAAACCCTGTTGTTTCAACAGTGCTTGCATCTTGATCTGCCACAAACTGAAACTATTTCTCCCAGTAAACTTATCAATCTTCATACTGATAGCAGCCATTCTTACTATCAAACAAACTCAAACCAAACTTCACAAAGCAAAACTTCAGTCCAGCGCCAAATTCCCAAAATCGCAACCAAAGGCTCTGATACCACTTGTCGAAATCGGGGAGCTCAATTAGTACGATATTGTCCGCTTTGGGCCAAGCCAACACGGTTTTACTCTTGGGTGTCCTCCCCAAAAGGCCTCGTACTAATTGGCCTAGGTGGACACTAATATACAAGGGTTTCTTCCCTTGTATTTCCGATGTGGTACTTGGATTGTCCCATAACAATCCTCCCCTCAAGACAAGGACCACGAACATCGTGTCCTCACCTCAGCGATTATCTTGACCTGCCAGAGACCTTGTATCTGAGGCGAATCGCAAATCCCGAGGCTAGCTCAATTAGTATGATATTGTCCGCTTTGAGTCAAGCCCGCATGGTTTTACTCTTGAGTGTCCTCCCCAAAAGGCCTCGTACTAATTGGGCTAGGTGGACACTAATATACAAAAATTTCGTTCCTTGTATTTCCGATGTGATACTTGGATTGTCCCATAACACATCGGTGCCACCACGCAATCCACCTGTCCTCCGTGCTGAACCGGACTAGCCAAACTATATTAAGCTTTCTAATCCGCATGCCACTTGGGTCTTCTTTTTTTCAACTTTGGGTTCTTGAAGTGTGCACTCCTGACAAAGCCTCAATCTTTCAGCGTGTTGCTTCAGGTGAGTCAATGCTACTGTCTTATAATTATAATCAACATTTGACTCTTGTTAGTTTCTTGTTGATTCATTGGACAGTTCCCAAGTTTTGCTGAAGCTGATTATGATCGGACTTTTCCGTCTCAGTTACCCCCACCGCAGCTGGAAAATGCCTTGAACCGGATCGCGGCACTGAGAGCTCCGCTAGTTTCTCATGCTAGCCAACCAAATATTAAATTGACACTACCGTGGTTCATTCATCATTCCTAATTCGAGAATACATTAAAACTTGGACAAAAAATCAGAATTGCGCAACTCTCGTCGATATCGCATCACATCAGCACGACAGCACCTGCTCAGAAGAGGATTTACATGTAACAGAATGGATGTATCTCAGAAATTTGGAGGCACGGATGATTACCCGGTTCGGTCTAGTGAACCAAACCAAAAACTCAAAAACCGTAAGGGCCTGATTCTTGGAAACTTTTGACTGGCCTGTCAAAATCGGGGTTAACCAAATCAGTTAACCGATGGGCCAAAAAAATTGATAATCCTAACTGTTAACTGTAAGTAAGCCAGTATGCTACTATCGGTTGTAAGCTATATCAGTTATTCTGTTCAAATGCTGTTTCTGATATCCTGTATTTTCCTCGTGGTGTAGGTAGGTCCATCTTGTACTTCAAATGAATCCAACTGCGAAGACTAAACAACTTCCTCCAGTATTATACATATACCAGCAGGAACCCTTTTGGAACTCTGAAGCACTCTGGATATGAACCATAAACTAAGGTGGGTTTTACTGTGAGAAGAATGTAGATAGGCTATCACTGGCATATGGCGACCAAGCTAGAGAGTGGCACTGTGGCAGTGATGGATTTCATCATGACTGGCTCATGTACGGGCTCAGTTTCGAACTAATTTTGAAGATGCAATAAGCTTGATAAAAATTGATATCTGTTGGTTTGCTTCTACAAAGTGCTGTGGGAATTCGACAGTGGCCAAGAATTGCTCCCCAGAAAGTGGCCGCTGCACTGAACGGAACCATGAAAAGGAACGGAAGTCGCCCCAAACCCTTGTAACCCCCTACTGGCCCCTCTTACAACCTTGCTATAACATCTTTAACCCCTCAAGGCCAGTTTAGCAGTCTAGCCAACATTCATTCATAGATCCACCATTAGAAAGAACATCGTGGAAGGGTAACAACTCATAAATAAATGCCAACCCTAACCCCGCTGGTAAAGAATCATGGACTCCCAACAAAAAGTAGCTTGTCTGGCGATCTCACGTCAACGCAATAGGAATCCCATGCATTTGGAACCACTCTGGCATGTGAAACATCTGGTAAAGCGATGGTCTAACGTCCTTCTGATACGACAGTTGCCTCAGCATGGGGAGCACCACTTCCAGAAGCTACACCACATCAAAAAGGAAAACTCAATCAGCCTCTCTTGTATTCTGTAGCACTCAGTTTTGTGCAACGGAAAGGCCACTCACCTGATGATCGTAAGGCTGTCCTGCAGAGAAAGGAACGCACGGGATCCCATTCAATGGCTGGAGCAGGAAACTAAACGGATTGTTGTCCACAATCACAACTCGACGCAGGTTCTTCGATACGCATAACAGATCCTTTACGTGTTCTTTGTGCTCCCTGCAGTTGTAAGGCCGGACATTCTATCAGCATTTTAGGCGAACAACAGACAATGTAAGCCAGCCAGTCAGTCAGTCAGAAACGAAGGAACCTTACGTGCTGACAGTTGAAGGTCTATAAAGTCTTAGGCAGAATCGATTCTCAATGTCTATCTTGTCAACAAGAGGCCTTGCATAGCCTTCCAGACCAGCCGTGAACAAAACCAGATGGGCGAATTCGCCAACTCGTGTCAAGAACTCTTGCAAACCGGGGCGCTCAAACACTGTAACGTAGTTGATCTTCTTCCTACCTTCAATTTCCTTCCCAACCAAAACAAACCCGCATTCTGATTTCATATTTCAATCCTGCAGGAAAGCTGGTTAAAGAAACAAAGGGCTTGTTAGCTAACCTTATCCGAGATACATTCGATTTCAAACCACTTCAGTCCAGCTTCTATAGCTCGAGTTCGAAGATTTGGTGGCAGGTTAGACTTTTCGTATGCAGAAACCAGCGTTTCGTCCAAGTCAAGAACCACCTGCCCAAACAAAAAAACGCGGCACAGAAGCTCTGATTCAGAAACCCATTTATGATTTACCGAAGTCAAACAAAGAAAGATGGAAAACACCTACTGTAAGCTTCTCTAATTGGTGATCGCCAATGGTAGCACCGTCGCCTTCGCCGAGGTCGGCCCGGGCGGAAATTCGGCCGGCAGCCGGCGGAGACATATCGGTCTCCTGCAAGGGAACTTCGACGACGGGCAATCGCTTGAAAGAGCGATGAGGAAGAGGAGTAGAAGAAGAAGAAGCGTTGCGAGAAGGAGAGGCAGCTGGGAGTAGCGATTGACCGAACCCAACATAAGAGAGCAACATTTGGGCAACTGATGGGGTTCCTCTGAGGATTTGAATGCATAGTTGCAAGAGGAAACCAAGCCAATTCACTATACCTCTCCAAGCCCCCACCACTACCGACGAATTGGGAGAAACCCAGACTTGCTGTCGCCCACCTCCTCCTCCGCCTAACTCCGCCATGGTCGAGCTTACCCAAGAGGAGGAAGAATTGTGGGGAGAAATTATTTTAAGAGATGGCCGAATGGAGAGAGAGGGGAGAAAGGGTTCGGTGTTGGCAGAGAATGGTTGTCGTTTTGGGGAGAAGGGAAGGAACAATGGCGGATAATCTTGCTGTAGCTCTCTACCTCTTTGCTGCCAGCCCAGTGACTGGTCTATGGATGACTCTTCTCTTTTCACTTTCTCTGCCTCTGCGTTTCCTTTCCGGACAAGCATGAGTATGAATTTAAACAGTTGCCCATTTCTTTCCTTTTCTTCTTTCATCCCCTTCTCTCGCATCTTTTTTTTAAAACTTGACACCTTTTAGTCGAAAACAAAATAATAATTAATATATTTTTTCAAAAATAAATATTTTAAAATATAATAAGCAAATTCATAAATTTCCTACAAAATTATTCTTTACTCGGGTAAATAAAATACTGTGATGTGACGAACAAGCAAAGACACCATCGAGCGTCGACAAGTCCATTTCTCGTTTAACAACTTGTTTGAATATTTGGTATTTGAAGAAGATTTCAAGGTTTGAGATTATTGAATGGAAACAATTACCCAAAACGTGCAACGCAAGGAGTTTTTGAATTGTTTCTTCGAAAATAAAAGCTTTGATAATCGGTCTGAAGTTTTAAAGAAAATTATAAGATTTTTAGGAAGGTATATGGTATGTTCACAACAGAAGTTGCTCATATATATATATATATATATATATATATATATATATATATATCTAAAACATAAATGTGTAAACCTAACAATAAAAATGAACAATATCACCCTTATAAAAAAGGGTTAATAGCATTTTCTGCCCCTGTACTATGGCGATGTAACAAACGTGTCCCTGTACTATTATTTTGCACAAAGATTCCCCTATACTATTAAATCGTAACGTACTTGCCCTTCCGTTGAAAATTTCGTTTTCTCGCCGTTAAAGGGGGTTGGAAATTACCCAACTACCCTAATTAATTATGAAATTCCGTTTTAATTAGAAAATGATTACAGAAGAATTAAAAAACTAAAAGAAATCCCATTTGAATTAGAAAGGGATTACGCTGTTCTAGGGGTTACTGTTCTATTGCATCGTACTCCAGCGGCGCGCGCTCGACAACATCGCCGGCAACGACGCGGTGATAGCAACCCGCGCTCGACAACATCGCCGACGCCATCTTCACTGGCGTCCAGTCCTCCGACGTCCTTTAGCGGCAATGAATTTGGAGGCTGTTATCAACAATGAATTTGGTGGAGACAATGGATTCATGCATGATTTAGTGTGAACCAAGGTAACATGCAGAAATCACCCCAACATGCTAAAAAACCCCAGTCCAATTGATTCAATTCAATCAGAACTAGCTTACACTTAGGGTTTGAAAGAGAAAAAAAAATCAGATTGTTGGACCTCTTGGATTGGCGAGAATCAGGAAAGGAAGATGTACCTTTTGGCTGGCTTTGTCTCTGCTCCGACGGAGGGAGGCGGTTGTCGAGAGGGGCTTGCTTATGTTCCAACGGAGGGAAGGAGAAGGCTTGCTCGAGGGTCGCAGAAGGGAGGCCGACTAGCTGGTTCTGTCTCTGCTCCGGCGGAGGGAGACGGTTGTCGAGGGGGGCTTGCTTCTGTTCCGACGGAGGGAAGGAGAAGGCTTGCTCGAGGGTCGCAGAAGGGAGGCCGACTAGCTGGTTCGCTTGCCGTCGTCGGAAGGATCGAGGGTCGGGTCGTCGTCAGTCTCTCTCGTCGACCTGATAGCTCGAGGGTCTGGTAGAAGTGGAAGAATCGATGGGAAGGAATGGGTTCGGGTAAGACTGAATTAGTCAGGGGTAGTTGGGTAATTTCCAACCCCCTTTATCGGCGAGAAAACAAAATTTTCAATGGAAGGGCAGGTACTTTACGATTTAATAGTATATGGGCATCTTTGTGCAAAATAATAGTACAGGGGCACGTTTGTTACATCGCCATAGTACAAGGGCAGAAAATGCTATTAACCCTATAAAAAAATGTGTAACATTCTGACAACACCCAAAATGGTATTATTTAGAACACATATTTAAGGTTTTTCTCGAGCCATTCATGATCTTCATGGTTAATATGTCGTCGATTATACCCCTTATTCGTTCCTCGGAGAAAACATTAGTGTTTTAGGGTGTATTAGACGATATGAATGTTCTAGGTACCAAAAGAGGGCACAAGTGTGGAGAAATGTGCAAAAACTAAGGATCACAACGAGAGCATGGAAGATCACGGCCAGGAACAGAGGACCCGAAGTTGGATACCGAGATCGCAGCCTTTAGAGTGAAGATTACGACCGTGAAGAAGGAGGCTTTAGGCGCAAACTCTTCGAGTAGCAAACAAGGAAGAAACATAAAGTTTTGATAGTCGACTCACGACTTTTTGCATCAGGGTCCACGAAAAAGATGGCGACCGCGAAGTTGGGTCGCGAACTTTCCAGCTATCGAAGCGCAAAATGACATGGCTCGAGATCGCGGCCTCACCTTCCTATATCGCGGCCGCGAACTTTGTCAGGTCGCCCGTGAACTTGGCCGAGATCCTAAAATCTATAAATAGATGATTCCTCCCCCTTTATTAGAGAGTTGATTTCAATTGAGAAATTTTTGGTTTGAGACAGAATAACTAGAGAGAGAAGCTGAAGGAAGGAGAAGAAGAGAAGAATGAGGTATTAAGGAGGAAGGGAGTTCTCCCCTATTCAAGTCTTCATATATTTCTCTACATGTATCTTCTTCCCTGCTTTTTGGAGTACTCCTCTAAAGTACTAGGGGTTGAAACCCAAAACCGTAGATTTAGGTTTTGAATATAGATGTAATTGTGTTTGGGTTTGTGAATGAATTTGTTTGTTTCAGTGATTATATGCTTCATTTATGATTTAATATGTTGTGGCTTGTCTCTCCAACTCTTCCTACTAGCCTACCATTGAGTCACAGAACTAGGTGGAAATTTTAGGATTAGGCTGGATTGAGCGCGTTTAGGCTAATTGGAGGTAGATGAATGATCTTAGGGTTCTTTTTAGTGGACGAGGCGAGGAAACCCCCTAATGGAGGAATGCCTTTTTGAGACAATGCTACAGACGATGCAAGTGTTATCAATCCACAGCTTTAGAGTGCAAGATAGGTTGAACTTATTGGAACTAGTCAATATTCGTTAGTATGTGAGCTTTGACTGAGATGACAATGGGTCTCTAGGAGCGTACTAGGAGGAGACGGAGTAATCATTGAGACCCTTTATTTAGCGAGTTCCACACCTCATCCTGCAAACCCAACATAGTTAGCCATTTGCATGACAAACCTAGGTTTAGGGCGATGGAGTTACCTCGAAGTACCTGCTTTCTCCACCAGTATTTTCAGTTGACCTCTAAAAACCCAACTAAACATATTGGCTAGATAACAACAACTTGAGAAGTAACCTAGGGTATCGAAACCGTGGAATATGACATTGGTCACCACTATATTAGCAAAGCCATTTCAAGTTATATTTGGCTCGGGATGAGGTAGTTAGTTAGGTCGTGAAAACAATTGACATGACCCGCACGGGGGTTCTACCACACCCTCACTTAATCGTGGAGTAGTTCTGGTCATTGTCTTTATGGTCAATAACCATGCATAATCCTACACTTACCATACATTAAAGGTCTCTAGCTATTCCCCATTTAATGTGAATGTGCTATAACTCTTTCATTTTAAGTTGCAATTATTTTTTTTTCCACAAAAAATTAGATTAATTATGTATTTCAAAATGACATCCATTTGATAATACTTTGGAAAAAAAATTGAGACTTTATTACCATTCCATCCATACCATGTGGTATGGTAATTTACTATGGTAGTACAAATAATATCATAGTGTACAATGGTTGTGTACATGATAGTATGAATATATTAACGTACATTTAACACATTTCATCATCGTCTACAACCAGTTACCAACATATATCAAGGGGGTACATAGTGGTATAGTTAGTCCTAAAATTTGACTCACTCCTACTGTCACTCTAGAAAATGGCCAAGTGTAACCACTTCCTAAAGCGTAGTATAGCGGGTTTGGGTTTTAATGTCAACTCGGGTCCTAGATGTGATGACTACTCAGCGAATTCTTATCATTTAGCGGTGAAACTTTAGTGCAGGTTTGAACAAGCCAAACAAGCAATGCAATTAAACGGTTGTTTTCAAGTCGAGAGAGGTCACCCGGATATGGTTCCCCCTAGACTGCAGTTAAGCCGGATTGCAATTTACCAAGTTCAGCTTTAATGATAGTTATACTGCGGGAGGTTCTTAAGCAGTCTTAAGTCTCGACTAAAGGTCTCCAGACCCTCTCAATCTGAGTCCCCAGCGGGCGACTAACCTCCACCGGAGTAAACAGATTGAGGCCCTAACGAACCAAACCTCCACTACCGAAGTAAATTCGGTATAGAATAGTGAATTGGCTCCTCGACTAAAGTCGCCAATTCACTACCTTCAATTAAGGGTGCTCTATCAACCTAGGCAGATATTCTCTTTCTAGGCTAAAGCAGAAATAACAGGAATTTTATCAGGATTTATGCCATTCAATAAATCAAACCTCAATTGAATATAATCAAATCATAGAATCTGTACTTGGGTTCATACAATCAGACCTAACATACAAATCTAAGGTTCTCCATACCCAGATGAATAAGAAAATTACTCCATAGAGAGAGATGGAAAATCTAGCTCAGATGCGGAAACCATACTGTGAAGGATGATAATCTGCTTCTAGCGCTCAATCGGATCTTCTCCAAGCTCAAGCCGGGCTCCAACGATGATGAAGATCAAGTTAGGGCACTTGGGAACTCTGGTTCGTCACTTTCTCTCTCTAGGAATTGCTCTGTCTCTCTAAAACTCGGAACCCCTTCTCCTTTGGCTCAAATCTGCCTAAAAGGCCGACCCTGGGCAAAACACGGCCGTGCTTTGGTTTTGCCCGCAAGTGTTTTGCCCCGTGTTAAAAACACGCCCGCGTCGGCCAAAACAAGGTCGTGTCTAAATATGGACACGACCGTGTTTTGCTTTAGGCCAGTCCGTGTTTTGCTTTTCCATCAGTTCAGCTCTTGGCAATAAAAACACTGGCGTGCCTGTTTGTGTACACGGCCGTGTTTTGGTTTAGGCCAGCCCGTGCTTTGGCCCCAGCTCGACCGAATGACTTCCAAATGCCCCGAAACTCGTGCTTAGCCTTTCCTTCGACGTCTGGGACCTGAAATATGACAAAGTAGCACAACCCGGCTTAAAACGGGCCAAAAATACACGACTACTGGCCGCAAACGGATAAGAACTAAGGGTGCAAACATGTGCAAATACATCGTTATCAAATTCCCCCACACTTAAGCGTTTGCTTGTCCCCAAGCAAACCTAACTCAAACCAATGCAACTCTCCAGACCTCTATAGCAACAAACAACCCCGATCGTCGGTAGAGGATTTTCTAGATCATAACGCAGCTTACGAGGTCAACTGGTCTTCTAAGACGTCCCTTATCTCTCTCAATGCGAGTACTATACTCAAGCCAGGATCATGAGAAGAAGAAGAAGTAAGACAGTCAGTTCATGGATAAAGGGACTCACACCATTCACAATCAAGGACTCATTGTACCGGGGTGCTCTTTCACTTCATTTCACCGTTGGAACCCCTTTTTCACTTTCATTTTACTTCTTTTTTCTTTCTTTCTCATTCACTTAGCGGGGGTTCCAACTGCAGTCTTTTGCACGGTCGACCCTTATTAGTCGAGCAAGTGCAATTTCTGTACATCTGGCACTCGCCAGAGTACTTCTTTTAACTCCTTTTCCTCAACTCGTGTGGAGGGTCAATGAAATTAAGGGGGTTCGGAAGCTCTATCCGTGCCCTTATCAACACATTCTCAAGTAGGAAAACCGTTCAACGGGTGGAAGTCTTACTTGTACTAGAGACGGCTTAGCTTCACCTTGTAGGAGTACCCCACTAAGGATCACTAAAATCTCTTCCAAAACCCGATTTTTGTGCAATGAATGGTGCCGCACACGTTGGGCTTACCCCATGTTTAAGATTTAAAGATTTTGACATGGAGGACCAACTGCATTTCATTTTTCACGTGAGCACCCTGTTCGATACACGAGTCCATAACACAATCCAAATAGAGTCACCATTATCACATGAATTCAACGGTCCTAGCTCCACTAATTCACAAAATCAACTGGCACAACAGAGAGCTAGATAGGAAAAATCTTATACTTCAACATCCTCCATAGTGTTACACTACCTCCCTAGGTTGCACATTACTATAGAGACTGTCAATTCAAAGCATACTGAGTAGGCAATTTGCAAGGAAACACATACTTGGAGCCCTCAAATTTAAAATTTTGGACAGTGGACTAGGCTCCAAGCACACAAACAAATCTAATGCAGTCAAAAGAGAAACATCCCCCCCCACACTTAAGATCGACATTGCCCTCAATGGAGAAGAGGGAATGATAAAGGGGAACGATGTTACCGGTGTGCACGGACTACATGAGACTGGAAGCGGACCAGTCTGAGTGAAGAGGACTGGAGAGGGGACCAGTTAGGGACAATGCACAGCTAAAGGGAACAGAAGAACTCAAACACAATCCGTTAGGTCCAATTGTCAGCCCAATAATACACCATCCAAAACAAAAGAAAACAAACCAAAACCAAACCAGTTTACAATCCGACCCAAAACAAAAGGAATAAACGAAAACTGTGGTGGGGTTGCCTCCCCACAAGCGCTTCTTTACCGTCTTTTAGCTGGATGCC